AAAACTGAATGTATTTACATTATTAGAGTTCTTATAGCAGATTTAGTGGAGGAAAACTCTGTCATACACTTTCTAGCTTTTTGAAACAAAAGTTGTTAGGTATTACCCAATGTATAACCTTTTTCCGGCTAATATTGGTAACTTTTCCTATCGTCGATTACTTAAAATTTAATAAATATCACGGGTCGTTAAATATATAATCCGTAAATTTCGACCCTTATGGAAATGGAAAGACTGTTACGGGAAAACTAAGTGATTTTGCCGTGTGTTTCTGAAACACATTTATTTGTTAGTTTTTTCAATATTTTAGCCGTTCTCAATTCGCTTGAGAATCTTTCTTTTTAGAATTTTAAAGATACAAAAGCCAACAGTAGTTGCTTTCAATTACCAACTTTGTACACTTGTACATCGGCCCCCCGAGTTGATCATCGTCAAATAGTGATTTTTAGTAACGACCTTTCCTGGAAATTGCAGTTCTCTGGGAAGTCAGTGTGCAGCTGAAATCGCGTTCGTAAGTTAGCTTAATTGTATTCACCACTGTGTGGTGAATACATGGATGACTATGTTGAGATTACACCCGGGTTTACAGTGGTGAATGCGCCACAGTTGATGTCAGACTTAGACTCAAACTAGAATAAACTTCTGTTGGAACCAAGCTGAGTTGTTGGTCCGTGACGTCTGAAATAAGTCCATCGAAGCAGGCCCTCGTGTGACGAGTTGCTTTTCTCGCAAGCCACGTGATGCCTCCTAGCAAAAGTTTAGTCACAGTGCGAAAAACGTCGCCTTACAATTCTTCCAGATCCGCCTTTATCCATTCAATATGAAAATCATTCAAATCAAAAATTTCCCTTGGTTTCCCGCAGACGCTAACAGTCAGGCAACAAAGGCTACTGCGATGAACCGCTAAAGAGTGGCAGGAAAAGTGCTGACGAGTAAAGTTTGACATTGTTAATGTTTCTAACTGTCTATGTACAACACAGCAATGAGAAGACTTTATTACATTTCCCGAGAAAAAAATAAAAAATATATAATCTATTCACAACAGTGAAAAACATTCCTTTATAAACCTAAAATTTCCCATCCAAGGGAAGTAGAGTTAAAACTTTTCTGCAATTAAAATTTTAAGGCAACGAACATCTGGGTAGGTAAGTTCATCCACTACACTCAAGCCTTCAGTGAAGCTGCCCTCAATCCATTATTCCCAGTTCCTCTGTTCTGTCCAGAAATTTTCTTCATATGTTCAGCCATTCCAGGTAGACGTGAAAAGTAGTTCCTTGCAAGGACATGCTTGTGAAGAATCTTGCCGATAAACATTCGGCCGTAAGCCTGTAAACGAGAAATACAAAGTTACTATGAGAGAGCTAAAACTTCCAGAAAAGTGAATTTATTAAGAGAAATCAACATCAACACCCACTCCCCAGTACTGCTGACACCTCAGATTATCTCCTTCTCCAAAAATCGACATATCAGTTTTAAAAAAAGGGAAACTGTCACAAAAAATTTACCTTAAAATTTGCTGGCGTTAGGAAAAGAAATAAAGAAGAGTTGAAAGAAATTTCTACCCCGACAAGTTTTCCCTAACAAGAGACCGCGACAGTTTTTCTGTGAAGCATCATTCACGAGAAACGCTGAATACCAGTTGGTAATGGTTTTGCATCTGACTGGCTGATAAGGGTGCACGCATCTGCGTGAATCTGGCATGGGGATCTAAAAAGTCCATGGCAACTACGATCATAGGTTCGAATCTGGTCAAAGTCTTACATTTTTTTAAGCTTCCTTTCTGCAATTGCTAAATTAGCAATCCACCTGCGTGAACCATTTCTTTGCTTAACTAAATCATAACAGAATCGACAGTAAAAAACAGCAGTAAAATAACAATAGCATGTACTACCTCAGTGACGTTTTCAAGTTTCGCATGAGCTGAAGCCTCTTCTTTCGTGAGTAAAATACAGTTCCACGGTGACCATTCCTCGTATTTTTTCCACCGAACTAGCACTAAGTCAAACAGATCTTCATGAGCGCTCAACACGCTCTGACTGTTCCAAATGTTCTCAACTAAATAGCGAAGGTCGGGCTCCTGAGGAAAAAGGATTTAGACAAGAAGCGTTATTCTCTTTTGGGATTACATCGAGAAATCTGTAACAAGCACTATGAAGACCACAAACAAGCAAGTGCTTCAAACTTTCGGCTTCACGAGTCAAGTCTCGTGACATAACTCAAGTTGACTAACAAAGAAAGTGGATCCACATATCTCTTGATAATATGATAGAGACAGTGAATTGATAATAGAGCAAAACATAGATCCTAGTCTGTGTAAAGCTTTGCGAGATTGAGCGGGAATGTGGCAATGCGGAAGAAAGAAAAATTGGATCCAGGTAGAAAAAGCGGGTCTTAATGGGGCAATGGCTTTTACGGCTAACGGTTAATTTCCTTCCGTTACGATTATAAGAAATTTTTTTACGGTTATCATTTTTATGACTAATGCTTACATTTGTCAATTTTATGTCTAGCCAATTTTTTTTTTCTTTGCCGTGTTACAGCAAACGGTTAGCCCCATTGAGACTCTAGGAAAACCGGCGTTCGAAGCCTGCAAAACTCTTTTCTTTTTTTATGTGAACTGAAAAAGCAACGCAGAAAAGACGGATGAAAGGCAGAAAGCAAGTCCAAATCTTGCTGTTTGTGATTGGCTACATGTGGTTATGAATTTCTTAAGTTGAAACTGTTATCATACGCGATAAGTTGAAAGTTTTCTATACCTGCAGCAGGTAGGCGATCTTGGAGCCGTCTCCAACGTTTTCCTCAGAACGTCTGAGATCTTTCAGCATGATTCGATATTGTGACAACTCATGTCTGAGCCTGGCGTCGTTATCAAGTTTCGTGCACTTTCTACACCTTCCGACAACCCTATGTACCGAAAAAAGGTGGATTTACCGGTTAGTTCACATAATGGTGACGTGATGATACATTATCTGTAAACCTCGCTTGCATCAAGAGTTCAAGCCCCAGACCGGACCAACACTCAGCGTCTTAAAATACCTGAGGATAATGTGCTTCTTTTGCAATGACATCTGCAAATTATAGGACATTCTACTCTTTTTGGATAGGGATGATAAACTGTAGGCTCTGTCAGTATGTCTCCTACATCTTCTCTACACTGATTTGCAGGAGACATTAAAGAACCCACGCACTTCTCGCAAAGAGAAGGAGAATATACCTCCTGGAGTTGTGGTCTAGCCTTGTTATTTTTTATACATTATAAAAGATTTCCCATAAGCGTTATTTACAGAAAGAAGTTGGGCAATAAAGGAAGAAGAACAAGAGGTAAATAAAAGCTAAAGAATGAAAAAAATCAAACTTTTTTCACCACCCTTCCCTTCCACTAAATACCGATTAGTTTTACTTCTGTATCTATCTGATCGATTGAACCCTTTACACCCCAACATCAGTGTGCATATTCTCCATACTGTTTCCTATACATTTTCTTAAATGCTGAAGGGAGAATTTGTTTAACAATCAAGAGCTTCTTTAGTTGGTCTGTGACCTTGATGAGCTTTTCAGGGGCGAAAATGTAAGGAGAACTTAGATGCTGGTCACTCTTACGGGTTTAAGGTTTAAAAATTGGAGCAAGTTTGTTTTTGGAGTCATTCCCAAAGCCTTACAAAGGCAAAACTTGTGCAACTCTAGATATGTTTCAACACTCAATTAGAAATTAGTCAAATTGTATATAAGCGACAGAGACATAATGGCCTTACTTGGAATTTGACGACAGCTGAAACTCAGTGGAAGGTAAATACGAATTGCAGCTTGGGCAGAAGTAGATATTTTTCCGTAATACGGCAGGATCTTGCGGAACCTGAGAACAAACAGAACAACAACGGGTCAATAAACTAATCAAGGCAAAAAAAAGTATCTTGGATACTATAAGCTATCTATTTACATTATTTTGGTTCCAAACAGCCGTGCAAACCAGGCTAACAAACAAGAACAAAAGCGGTGTCCTGTGGGCTAATAGCGAAAAAAATCAATACCAAGTTTATGAAAGTTAAACAGTTCAGTTTCAACTAAAAGGATAACTAATTAATTAATCACACTGCATTTAGCGAAATTACAGAAAGCTTTGCAAAAATGAATCGAGAATTGGCCAGAACCAACATCTTCCTGCGCTTCCTATTTTACACATTTTGAGAGCGAAAAAAACATTTTTAAGGCCTTTTTCTCCAATTAAATGAACTCGAAAAATGATCTGCATTTAGTTTGGTCTTCGTTGTGATTGCCTGGAAGGAACTAGTAGTCGAATTTATGAAATCATTCTAGAAAACTGGTACTGAGCTTTCTGGGAAATAAAAGCTTTTCAATCACATACCTTGATCAGTCGGGCCGCTTCTGGGTTAAAGAGAGGCGTTTTGCAGTACTGAAGAAAAAGGGTTAATATTCTCTTGCGTAAACCTGTAAAAGATAAAGGTTCAAATTCGCACAATCAAGAAAATATTATACAAGAAACGTGAGAAACAAATTGTTGAACTTAGAACTATAATGGCTTTTTGAGAACAGAACTCGAATTTCCTAAAACAATAACAATACTGCCACGCCTTGCTCGCGCTTCACTGGTGACAGTTGTTAACGGAAGCACAGGTACTTAAGGGTGAAGTTTTTTTTTAAATTTAAGTCTCCGCATCGAAAATTCTGAACTTTTCAATAAATGCTTGAGGTATCCACAATGGAATATGCTACAAGTACATGCAGTACCATTCCACCCAAGGGATTAGCAATATTCTAACTTACCTCATACTCAAAACCAACATCACTTAGCCTACATGTATCTACCTTCTAAATTTGATTCCTTGACTCCTCGCATCAGCAAATCAGCTTCTCTATCGATCAGTTCAATTATCTCTTGTGTCAGTTTGCAGTCATGCTCCTTTACAGTATGTTTGAGGGTCAGCAGTACGTCCAACCTCTCATCTTGGGTGAGGTACTTCATGCTCAGCGTGCTGTAAATGTCCCGTAACTCTTGAGCGCGGATGGTGTATGGTGTGTCCATTTCAGTAACTTTACCGTCGAAAGCTTTCCACTTTTTGGGAGCAGCAGCCTGTTAAGACAAAAAACCAAGCTGTTATTTTCGGCATGGTTGATTTAAGAAAAAAATCACGGACAGTTGTCCTGTGTTCATATTGGCTCAGTTTAGTTCGTTCAGTTTGGCATTAAGTCAACAGAGGACCAAAGCAACAGAATACCAGGCCACGATAATGAATCATCGATTAACACTATCAGATCGCCCTGGACGCGAAAGCAGTAATAAGGCACAAACTTCGACAAACCTTGTTCAAGAAGTTCTTGATCCTTTTGTCATTGTTTTCTTCATCAGCCACCAGTTTATGCCGATCAATGGAGGCAATAAGGTAGGCTTCTTGTTCCAGAAGTCCTACAAGAGCAGCTTTCCTCTCTGGACCTGAGTACAACTCATCTATCAACGCCATCTCTTCATTACGCCATTCTAAACAAATAAAACATTTCCGTGTTTCAAACACACAATAAAAGTAACATAAACTTCCAAGAATTACCTGACTCAGCTGTAAGCACCAATCTAATCTATTTCAATTGATGCAAGATTGCAAAGTGTTGCAGCGGGTGAGTTTAATTCCTCATTTCACGTTTCACGACTCGAATTTTCTCTCTCAGAAAGAATAAAGGTAAACTGACAGGTAAGGATAATCCTATACATGAAAAGGGAGCTTTTGTTTTTTTTTTTTTATTTTTCCGTTTCTTGGTTACTTTGGAAATATGTTTTCGACTTAAGGAATTCCCTCATATCTTTTCTTCCGATTTTCTTTTTTTCTCTGGTTTGTTCGTGTTTTTGTTGTTTTTTTCCCCTTTCTGTCATTCCCTTTTCGCCTTCATGAATAGCAAGAAATATTTTGGTTTTACTTATTCACCATGAGGGTTTTGAACTGTGATGCTTTAAAACAAGAACCATGACCTAGCTTGTCTCAGTTACGTGTAAAAATATACTCACTTTCTAAATGAGCATATAGGAGATCAAAGTCTTCTTTAGTCTTAGGGTTCATTCTCCTTTCCCACTCTCTCTTAATTCGTTCAGCTCTTTCTTTCTGTTTTCTGAGCTCCTCTTGTCTTTCCCACTCTATACGTCTCAAGCGATCTTCTCTTAACCGCTGGACATAATTCTTGGCCAGCCATCTCCTCCAATAAGTTTGAAGGACAATGACCTGGAAATCAAAAGCAAACTTAGGTCTACCTTGGTCTACCTTCATGTTGCATGGTTATAAAATAATGCAATTTACTGGGAAGATGACGAGTAATAGGGTATTCTGAAACTTGTTGGATAAATGGCACAATTAATTGCATAAAGAAATGCAGAAGTGATAGAATAGTGAAAAGTAGCAGGAGAATTTTCTGCTCTTCAGAATAAGGTAAGAGCTCTGGTCATGGAAATTTAGACAGAGATCTGATCCCTAAAACCCAGATAATACTCTCTGTTGGTATGATCACCAACTAAGGAAAAGTCATTTCTGACAGTGGTGAAATACCAAACTATCTTTAACTTTCAAAAGCTAAACAACAACAACAAAAAGTATCCTTTTAAGCTCTTAAAGGATTGTGATAATTATTCCTTAGTTTTTAAAGAGTTAATAGTTCTCTATTTTTTTAATCAAGTTATGAAAATGTCCCTGCAGAAGATTAAGTAGAAAAAAAAGTATGTTTGTCTTTAACTCAAGAGATATGACTGCAAACAGGGGAATCATTTCTTAATGTAATGTGTGCTCATTTACATACTTTCTTTAATATCTTCCCGTGGTATTGGTCAGCTGTTTCATATTTCCCAGGAATCAGTATTTTATCTGTGACATTTGATACATAACAGCCATCCTTGGTCTAAGATAAGAAGGAGAAATTGTGTTAATACTCATTCCACAAACCTGAATCCCAGTTGATACTAAATTGTTGTCTGACACATTTAAACCCAAAGCTGTAGAAGAGTCTACATGCAGAAGAAAAATGTCACAGAAGGGAATTTGACAACAGACTGAAGCATTATAATTGATAGATGTACTTCCAAAGTAAAGATTTCCGAGAATGGTACCATTTGTGTAGATGTTGTATTTGTGGTCTGCTGAAGTCTGTTTCTCAATTTGTATGTTTGTGTGTCTCGATGAAACTTCTCAACAGATGAAGGCACACGGATCTTGGGTAAAGTTTGTGCAGCTGCATTGTGGAACTCTGTCCCTGTCAGTCTGTGTCTGTAGCCTCCCAAGAATGGTTTTTTCCTGTTCTCTTGAACAATATGAACCACAAGCTCAACCTCCTTTCCACCTGAAAAAAAAGAAAAAACACAGAAGGTCAATGAAATACAGTACACCTCAGAGATAGATGGCCAACGCACACACAAGATCTTTGAATGTTTTTTGCCTGTTGCACAAAAAAAAAAACTGTACTGTATTAAATAAATAGGGGGGTGAGTAAAAAATATCAATAATAAGAAAGTGCCTAGATGTTAATAAAGTCTCAAGTATATGGAAACCCTGTCAAAGGTAATCACTCTATGTTCTGATGAGTGTTTGAGCTTCTAAGAATACACTGCCATGACTTTCCAACACAAAATCAAAGCAGCTATCCACATTCAATGGAGCAACCTACACTTAATCATCAACTTTATCATCATGATTTTAATTAAAAACTTTCCTTGTAAATGCATCCATTGTTTTGTTACTATCATTTGTTTTGTCCAATCAGCATTTTGTTAAATAATTTAAATTCAACTTTGTACTTTTTATGAATCTGAACTGAAGATGACAGAAGAACTGTTGAAACATGTTTTTAAAAAGCGTCATTTATTTTCTTAAATTTTCCTTTTTTCTTGTGACCTTAAAGTTTAATGTAGGGGTGATATTGTAAAGAGGAATTAGATGCTGGTCATTCTTAGGGGTCCAAGGGTAAAGGAAAATCAATCATTTTACATAGAACAACATGAAAGAGTTTGACTTTTATAAGGTATATTCTTCCTGCGCCTATGTACGTTACGTACTGTACATAGTAAGATATTACAACTTTAGTTTACATTATCAACAGAACAAAAAATGCTAGCAAACTTACCCACTTCCACCCTGACATTAATTTTGTCAGGTAGTTTGTACATTGGTGATGACTGTTTGTACTGCAAAGGTGTATTGATAGGGTCTGATGACTGAATTTCCACCTCCACTGTCTGCCCAGCTTGGACACCCAGATCTGAGAGCACAGTGTGATCTTCCACCATTTTGCCTTGAAGTGAATTAGTAGGATAGTAAATCAGTTAGAGTATTAAGGTCCATTGCTGCATGGACTTAGAACCAAAATAATGTAACGTACCATCAAATATCATCAGTATTGCCTGTGGCGGCTGGCTAAATTCTGATGCAAAATGGTTTCGTAACTCTAAGAAGGACTGCTTTAATGAACAAGTCATGCTCTGTACATGACCCTCCGGCATAATGAGGAACTTCACTGAAAAAATAAACATGAAAAATTTTATAATTCTGGCTATTTCATCATGCTCAATATTGCTGCAGGATACACATCCATACACTTACAATATGTAGCATATGAAAGCCCATGATTTTGATTCTAAAAAATGAATTAATAATAGTACTGTAAAATAATATTGATGGATGTCAGAAGAGTCAAACCACTCCTTCCCAAAACCAGCTTTTGCTATCAAACTGCCCAGGAATACAAATTATATTTAATCACAAGTACACCAATCTCACCAATGAATACAGGGGGTAAGTTTCTAAAGAGATTTTGGTAATGTGTCACTTGAGGGTTGGAGGGGGGGGGTAAAAGTGTATTACAAGATGACTTGATTTTTTCAACTGAGTTGGTCTTGTGAAATGGCAAGCCCTACAAGTCTCTAGAGCTGGCCTTTCCTGTCTTATCCCTTTGTCAGAGAAAAAGCACTCTCACCAATCTTTAAAGACAAATCACTAATGGTTACAACCATACATCTGCCACCTTTCCACCAAAAACTGTCACAGTACATGTACATTTACTACTAGCACTATACTGCTCAGTACATGCAATAATTACTCAAACTGTCCCGTGTCCCCTTGTAAAAAGTTTAAATATTATATATAAACAGTCACTAACCATTTGCACTGAAGCCATCCCTGGCTATTCCTCCGGATTCCAATTGGTCTCTGGTATCTTTCATCGGTGTTTCACTGTCTACAGACCTGTCAGCTTTTGAAGTCGGTGGGGCAACCAATGGTGATTCACTCTCCGATTTCGTTTCGACAACTTTGTCCTCCACTTTTCCAGGGCTAGCAGAAGAAACATCCGCGTCACCCACAGGCGATTCCCTTCCTTCTGTTTGAGCATTCGATTCTTGAGTTTCCACGTCTTTATCCGGTTCCGAAATAACGACAGACATAGGAGTTTCCTCCATTTTGCGACTATTTTCTTCAGTCTTTTCCTCAACAGGAGTTTCCTTCACTCCTTCCGTTTGATTTGCATCTGTAGGATCATCGTTTGTATCAACGGTTTTAACTTTCTCTTCTTTTTCATCAGCTTTTCCGATCTCATCATCACCTTCTTTAACCGTGTTAGTGGCTTGTGCAGGATCTACACTAATATCATCGCCCGCGCCATCTTGGTCGAGGACCTGTGTTGGTTCTTCTGCGATTTCACCCGGTGGCTCACCTTCTTGCGGCTTCTGTCCTTCATTGTTACCATCATTAGTACCTTGGGTCTCTCCAATTTCTTCTTGGGCAGACATTTCAAGACTTAAGAGGCCTTATTTTTGTTAGTATCAACATTCAATCTCCCTGTTGGCTATGAAGTTTCTTCTCTGCTGTTTCTTAGGTTCTGTTTCCATAGAAACAGCTGGCTTTGAGGATCGTGGTCTCAATAAAAGGTCCGCTCAAATTTTGAGGTCTGATAAATGTACCGTTCAAAGACGATGTAATACAGATTTTCCCTTTCAGAAAGCATAAGATTTTTCTTATAAAAAAAAAAAAGAGAGACGAAGATATTTAGAGAACGCGAGAAAGGCCATTTTCTTGTGACATCATTTTCCAATCTCGAGCCCAGGGTCATTTTGGCTCCTTGTCAGCGCTATGGTCGCCAAATAAGTTATTAGCTTCAAAATATGGCGTGGTCCCACAGCTTACATAAGGCCTGGCTACAAAGTAAGGGCTATTCTTTCAATTTCGGGTGAGTCACGTTGGAAAACGTCAGTTTCTTGGCGAACTTTTCCGGTATTTTACGGCTTGTACTAGAGTGAAAATAGAACATAAAAAGCTACACGTCACAAGACTAGAAAACAATAACGAAAGAACTGCCATTTAGTTTGATGAGTGCAGTAGATGTCATCAAATTGTGATCAGGAGACGGTCCCAACGCCTCCAGCAGCGAAAAGAAGGAAAATTTCAAATTCGGACGGTGAAACAAACTCTGTGTCTCACGAAAATCACTCAGGAGATCAGGTGGTTTATAGTTTAGTCCAAACTTTTTTATATGCATTTTTCGGTTTTCGCTGAGATCCGCGTGCACAGTGTTTAAAGGCGCTATGAGTGTTTTTTGCCCGGAATGACTTCAGTTTCAATTAACTTGCAGACCTCAAGGTCAGACGAGAATATGGATGGGCAAATGCAGATCGATGAAGGACTTTACTCCCGTCAACTGTGAGTATGAACCTCTAGTCTGTGCTTCAACGTTTGAATACACCATCCTTCTGATGATATGGCTAATTCCATACAGGAAAAGCAGATCTCGATGTTGCTAATTCCTTTAACTGTACGCGTACGTGCTAACTGTACCTTTCCCAATTTCTCAGCCACCGTGCCTTTGTTGGTCATTTTAGTTCTTGATGTCTTGAAATTATTGTTAAAAAATTAGACTTAATTTTGAGCATGTGACTTGATTAAATTTTTTTGGAATTGATGCATGTGTGCTTCCACTTTTACTATTTGTTAATCAGCGTGATATGCGTGTAACCTTGCCTCCTGGTATGGTAAGAATCAGGAAGTTTAGAACCTTTCACTTGATAGTGTGAGCCATGTGCGCAAATTACAACCATTAAGCCCAGGTTATCATGCACGAGACAACAAAGCCGATTCCTTTGTTCTGTGCAATGCTTCTCAAACAAGGCAGTTCAACTCATTTCATTGTTGCAATCTTTGTAGATCACCGCTGCTCCTGGTCCTCTCAACTTGACAAAGCATCTTGTCATCATCTAGCATGTCCCAGTCTTTGTAACCCTTTCTCATTCCCAGTTTACTTGGTTAACCCTTATACTCCCAGATCAAATTTGTCGTTCTCCTTACTGTCAACCATACACTTCTTATAATGTTAGTTCAGAGAATTTAGTATTGAATCAATTAATTATCCCCAAATTGATATTTTCTTTACTCTCATCACTTATCTGGTTGATATTGTATTGATATTGCTAGGAGAAATTCTGTCTTGGTCATTCATGGGAGTTAAAGGGTTAAAAGATGGTTTGGTTCTATCAACTTAGTTGAAAATTCAGTGTGGGCTATGTAAAAGGTTTCTAAAACTGACATTTCAAGGGTTTATCTTTTGTCAGAGGGAATCACTGAGATGAAGGGCTAATGCTCAAAACCTCAGCTTTAAAAACCTTTTTATGGTGGCCAATTTTCATCATCAACAAAGGTGATAAAACCACATTATCTTGTACAAATTGTTATACCTCCTACCAACACAGCACCACAGGTTTTAAAAAAATTATCCCCGCTTAATACTTAACTCATGCTTAAGACATAGTCTGGTTTAAGCAAAAATGGGTATATATAGATAAGTCAGTGAAAAATTAAAGAGAACTGATTAACAGAAGCTGGTGTGATCATATTGGCTGGTCATGAGTTAGAGAGGTAACATCATTGTCAAGACCTTGGGACAATGGTTTTCTCTCTCTAGAGGATATATATCTACCACTTACAGGGCTTGGAATCAATCAGTTGACTAGGCCTTTTTTTTCAGATATGTTCTTGGCCATGAAGCCATGAAAAAGATGGCCACTTCCAATATTCTTATCTCAGGTCTTAAAGGTCTTGGAGTGGAAATAGGTAAGATATTCATTATGTCGCAGTCCTGATGTGTTGAAACCCTATGCAAATATATCATGTTAGCATTGATGTGCCATTCCAGAATATTGCAATCTCATTTAATGGTATTGGGTTAATGGTGAACTGTGTAGTGAGCCAAACTGCGGCAGAATTTGTCTTTTAACTGTTATGATAGATTTAAATGTACAATAAAGTAAATACAGTTATGTGTTAGGGTTCAAATTTAAACTTTGTTTGAATTTTTAAAATCAGGTGTGAGTATCTTGTGTTCTTTTGTTTCATGTTACAATTTTATAAATAAAGCAGTGTAACAGCAACTTGACTGACAGCATTAGTATTAGTAAGTGATATATTGTTACTGGCAGTGATTTTTTCCATTTGGTTATCTGCAGCTAAGAATGTTGTACTGGGTGGTGTGAAGTCAGTTACTCTTCATGATTCAGGGAATGTGGAAATGTCAGACTTGTCTTCTCAGGTAAAAAACCCTCTTATCTTACCTCTAACATTTACTGATTAATCATCCTTGCGGTATATGGTGGCTAATGGCTTAATGTGCTAGACTGCTCATCCAGAGGCCTGGGTTCAAGACTTAAAAAGTCATTGTGCTTTTTTTTTCTTGGGCAAAACACTTTATTCTCACAGTGCCTCTCCTCCACTCAGGAGTATAATTGGGTACCAGCAAAAATTGCAGGGAAGTAAGGGGGGTTAATCTTGCAATGGACTGGCATCCCCATCCAGAAGGGAGTATTAATATTCCAAGTTGCTTCATGCTATGGAAACTGGAAAAAGTTCTGGCTAGATTGGCTACTTGACTCAAATGCTAACTTAGCCTAAACCATAAGACAATACAATACAAGGTGAAAAACTGAGAAAAAACTGATAAGAAACGGTGAACAGAATTTGTGGAAAAATTTTAAAGCTGAAACCTTGTTCTTTTTGTAAAATCCAATAAAATTACTTGACAGCATGACAGCTGTCAATCTTAACACACTCTGAAGACAAAGATTTAAAAGTATCATTAAATTGATTGGTATGTGTTTTTCCTATGGTGCAATGAAGTTCTTTCTTCAAGCTGAGGACATCGGCAAGAATAGAGCAGAAGTGTCTTTGAGCAGAATTTCAGAACTCAACAGCTACGTGAACATGTCTGTTTTTACTGAGCAACTGACAGAAGAATTCTTAGGAAAATTTCAGGTTTGTTTATCATAAAAAGTGAGGCCAATATATAGTCCTATACATTTCTTGAGGATTTGGTCTTGGTACAATTGCATACATTTAGATACATAAGAGTAGATATTGTTGTATGCCAATGCAATTAGGCCTTTGCCAAGATTTTGCATGATTTGTTGCATTTGTGCGAATATGAGTGTCATATTGTGTGTTGGTTTTGTTTCTAGGAAATAATTTATTCTTATTAATTATGTGTGACAATTCTACAATGATCATTTCATTATGTAAGACAACACATGTTCATTGTCACTTAAGTTGGTTCACTGTGCCCTTTTGTTATGAGCACTTTGCTGAATTTTCATACATCTGCTTGAACTCACCACTAATCTCTCAAATGGTGCTTTTTATTACTTTTTATAATGTTGAACTCCTGATTTTGCAATCTTTAAACAAGCCCAGATCTTAAATTTGGCCACAGTTATGTTTTCTTAGCTTTTGAAGACTCTGTTTTAAACTGCAGTAATTAAAACTCTGACCAGTTGATGTTTTTTTCCAGGTCATAGTGCTGACACAATCTCCTCTTGAAGAACAACTTTGGGTTGGAGACTTTTGTCATGCAAGAGGAATTAAGTTTATAATTGCTGACACAAGAGGATTGTTTGGGTTAGTATCTTGTTATTAACAAAATAGTAACAATGAAAACTAACCCAGAGTAAATAATATGTTTAAAGGCATTACACATGGTACTTTGCTCTGAGAACTTATTTTTGCCTCAGAAAGAAAATGGGTGCCAGGACACTATCAGGGAAACCTGATAAATTTTTGTGGGATTATTTGGAATAGACCATGCAGTATCCCATTTACCCAAAAGAAATGTTTTTACATGACTGAATTAAATTTCAGAAAGTATGCATTGAACATAGAGCACTGGAGGTTGTAAAACAGAATTAATGCCCATGTTACAAATGGAGGCTACATGTAGGTGCTTGAGGAGCCTGGGGACTGCAAGTGTAGTTACATTCCAAGGTTCAAGAACACTCAACTGGCCTACCCAACCCACAATCCAGCCCCCTATGAGCACCCATCACACTAAAGCCAGATGGCTCTGTGGAGGAAAACATAAATAAATCAATAAATGAATCAATAAATAAAACCAAAAAAAAATTGAAATAAACCCTGCCCAGGAAACCCTGCAGTTAGAGTTGGAAGGAAATGCTGGGAACCACTATCTGCAAGGACGACAATGCCATGCTATAGAACAGCGAACACAATGCATGCTTTGATATACCACTAGATGAGAACTGCCCTGAGACCCCAATAACCACAGTACTGCTGCAAAAATGCTATGAAATGCAACCAACGCTGCACAAATGCTAACAGCTGGCCAAGACACAAATCAAACGCCTAAAAACTCTACTAACCATATTTGCTCCTAGTCTTAAATTATGTGAAATATAATTTAACTATTTTTAAAATGCATTTTGTTTTGGTTATGGTGAAGTGCCAATTTCTTTCCCATTTTTATTTCAGTCAAATCTTTTGTGACTTTGGTGAGAGTTTCACAGTAGTGGATACAAATGGGGAGCAGCCAATTAGTAATATGATTTCTTCAGTTTCAAAGGTAACACAAATCCTGCATAAAGAATATAAGAAATGAGCTGCAAGGACATTGATTTGTTGAGGTGGCTTTCAAGGAGTGTATTGCATGATGAAGTTACTCCCTACTACATGTAGGTCTCCCACTTTTAATGACTGTTGGAAAAGTAATCTGAGCAATGTTGACCTGATAAACAAATAATAAAAATCTTAGATGTGGGTAGTCAATTTACTGAACATTGATGAAGTAACTTAGTTGGGTAGGAATAATACTGTAAATGGTTTGAACTTGGGGGTAACTTGCGGTGAGATTTTGTAGTGTGATTATGGCAGGGAGAGTCAATTGTCTTGAGAAGGACCGTTGTTGCTACTGATGTATGTATATTTGACTGACAATAAATGTCCTCTTAACTCTGATGGTCACCTCTGCTGAGGTTGTTGAAACATCACTCATGGCCAGCAACAATAGACCTCAGGATTACCATCTCATGGGGGATCAGAATGCATGAGTTAAATTATGTAAATGCATTATGCATTAAAAAAAATCCCTTATTAATAAATATATGTCATTTTTTAGGACACTGATGGTGTTGTGACTTGTTTGGATGAACAAAGACATGGATATGAATCCGATGACTATGTCACATTCTCTGAAGTACAGGTAATGGATAACAAGGTCATAGAATCGTTAATTTACAAGAGATTTTTGACAAATTAGGCTTATTACTTATAGTTTTAAGGGAGAAGCAATAGCCTAACCACAAGCAAGCAAGACAAGGGTCAAGTTGTCAGGGTTCTGGTACACATTGTACAGTACCTACCCTTGAACAAACATCTTTAAGATACACTGCATATCTAGGACTTGCAGAGAGTGTACATTTTATAATGGTCATGTGCTGCTTTTTTTTTCAAGGGGATGACTGAATTGAATCAATGTGAACCAAGAAAAATTAAAGTTTTAGGTGAGAAATTCTTTCTTCTTTAATTGAAAGCTTAGTGCAATTCTAAATAAAACAATGTCTAGTAAGGTGATGATATAATTGGAACTTGATCAAATAATCCCCAGAGCCCAGTTGTATAAAGTCCAGATAACCTAGGCTATCCAATGAATAAATTGCTATTTAGCAGATAAGAGTTTGCAAAATGTACTGCATTATCCACCGGATAGAGATTTATCCAGTGGATAGCCTTATCCAAGCATCACACAACGGGGGCCAGAATGGTAAACTTCTGCCAAACAGTAGATTGTTATTTCATTATACTAATCTGAGTGTATTACTGAATTAGTATCAGTCCTATGTGCATTCATGTGTACAAATGGAGCTGTTAACCAATGAGTCCTGTTTTATTTTTATATTTCTTGTGGTTGTTAATCACAAGAAAATTCATTTGATGTCTCATTTTATTACCCTTCAGGTCCTTACACATTTAGTATTGGTGATACCAGTGGCTTATCAGATTATGTTCGTGGTGGCATTGTCACCCAAGTGAAAATGCCAAAAGTAGTCAAATTTGTGAGTATCTTAATGACATTGTGAACAGTCTTTGTTAACTGCAAAGTGTTGTGTAATTATGGGTATGCAATACATGTAATGTCATTATCTGTCTTTTCATCTCTTTCTATCATGTTTCTATTGGGTTCTCTGGAGACCTAGAAAATTTAAGCTGTTTTGATCTTTTAAATAATCTGAAATGATTTTTAAAAGCAGTGAACAAATCAAGTTCAAGGTATGCCGCATTACTTCAGTGTTAAATAAGACTCTTTTTTTTTTTTAAAAAAGAAATCATTTAGACAGTCTCTAATGGAGCCGGAGTTTGTACTGACAGACTTTGCAAAAATGGAACGACCTGCTCAGCTTCACCTTGGATATGTTGTGAGTTTGTTATTGATTGTAGCTTTTTTTAACATTTCCTTATTTTGTTAGATGTAGTACTTTACATTTACTTTACCCTTTCCACTTAAACATCAGTGTGTATATTCTCCACACTGTTCTCTATAAATTTCCTTTGGTGTTTACACTGAGATTTTTTTAAACAGTCAAGAGCTTTTTCAATTAGCAATGATTTATTCTTGTGACCTTAAGGCTTGACTCAGAGGTAAATGTGCATGTAATAC